GTACTAACTACATTAATTCTATGGTAATTTCGTAAGTACTGTAGTATTTGTAATAAGTGACTACTTCTTTACTGATATTGCCTTATTTGAGGGATAAGGCATAATGTGATGGCTGGATCCCAGGCTAGACGCTCTCATGTCAAAGAGATTTTGGGACCCATACACGACCCCTACATATTTGCAAGCCGTGAAGATCCACATTACTATGATCACGTATATCCAATATAACTATCACAATGCATTGTGATTCATTGGTATAGTTAGATCGTGAAATCGTTCCATGCTATATCACATAGTGATGTCTGTTCTATTATCGTATATGTAAACACACTCATGTAAACGTATCTATGTAAACGTACTCATGTAAGCGTAATCATGTAATAGTATAGTGGTGTACTGAAATGTTCTGCGTGTGCTAGCTGTAACGTGTGTTGTCTCTCGATCTAGCATGTATAGTAATGTATTGTGTGTACTAGCTGTAACGTGTGTTCTCTCTCTATCTAGCATGTATAGTAATGTACTGTATGTACTAGCTGAAATGTGTGTTCTCTCTCTATCTAGCATGTATAGTAATGTACTGTATGTACTAGCTGTAAAGTGTGCTCTCTCTCTCTCTCTATCTATCTATCTATCTATCTATCTAGCATGTATAGACTCATGAATGAAATGAGTCGTTGTATGTTTCATTGTTCTAGTAATAGTATTAGTATCCTCCTGTGCTACCCTTATGGTAACTTACTTGTGATGTAACTGGTACGTATGAACATGGAACTATACCCTTGCTACCCAAGGGTACTGAATGAACTGGAAGAAACTTTATGACTATATATGTACACATGATATATAACTAATATTTAAACGACCTTCGGACGGGTACTCGATACCCCACCAGACCACATCTCAACGGAGAAAAGGCAACAAGGCGGGAAGGCCTTCCTAAGACTTTTAAACATTCCTTATATAATTATACATATATAGGCATGCAATTGACAATATAAAAGCATAAAATAAGTTTTGTAACACTTCTGAACATGATTCCTATGTAAGTAAAGGTCGACTTGATGTCAGCCTATAAAAATGGTTTGGAAGTATTTGTTTCAAAACACTGTTTAAGTATAACGAAAAAATTGTTTGAAACACAATTTTAAACGAGTTTGAAATGAAACGTATAGTATATAAAGAACAGTTTAATAAGGAGTTTTAAACATATAAAACGTTTATAAAAATCGTTTGACAACAACTGTTTGGTAAAACAGTTAATGTGTAGTAAATCATTTGAATGTTGCATACTAATCACATGTGATTGATATAATAACTAGAATGATTCTACTTGTATCCCCCCCCCCATAAAACATTTAAAAACATTTAATACATTGATTAAGGGGTATGAACTCACCTGTAGTGAGTGGTACGGATTAACTGAAGATGTAGGATTGCTAGGTGTCAAGTGAAGTCTTGAACACGGTCTATGATCCTAGTTAACATGTAATATCACATATATGTATACAATTAGTCTTTAAAAAACTAATAAACAAAGTTAATACACCGTAGGACATGCTAAACACCTTATACAAGTGTTATAAGTCTCAAGGGTTGCATCTAAGTGTTGTAGGCAAAGGCTAGTGTGTTTGGGGTTCAAGGAACACTCCTTTAAGGAGTTTACGATTTTATGGTGACTAGCAAAAGGGTTTACGGTCGTAAACCCTTGGGTTTATGGTCGTAAGCTCACCTTCTTTGTGACCATTTGATGTTTGAAGCTTTCTAAGCCAATCCAAGCATTCCTACTTCATGCTTAGGCCTTAGAAAGTGTTGTGTGGCATCAAAACACTACTAGGAGTTTACGGTCTATGGACCATTTCTCCATGAGTTTACTACCGTAAAATCTCATGGACTTAGGTATTTTGGGGTTTTCAAGTCCTTAGCTCATCATGGTAATAGTCTAGGTTAGATTCTAGGCATTAGGAGTAAATATGGGACATTTAAACACCTTTCGGGGTGTTTATGGTTTTTGGAGATCCCCAAACTGTAAACACATCTAAATGATTGTTTTTGTTGTTCTTTTAGGTGATAAACACATCAAGGATGGATCTAGACAAGTCCCTAAGGCATTGTGAAGCATCTAGACACCCTAAAGCACCCCTTTGGCCCTATACTTGGTGTTTACGGTTTTGGGAGCCTCCCAATACCGTGAACACCTTGTTCTTGGGACGTTTCCTTGATATTAAGATGTATAGCAAGCTTTAAATGACTCTAGGATAGAAGTACTTACTTTGTGGAAGCTTGAAATGAACTACAAGTCCAAGAACACTAGTGTGTGTTCTTGGTGTTTTGGAAATCTAATCAAAACATGAAACTTGATGGATTAAAGGATGTATAATCACTAGATGTTATGTTATATCAACCAATCAAGTCGAGAAACACTTACGTTTTTGGGAAATCGGGCGAAAACCGAGATGATACTTGAGAGAGTTTGGAGTTTACTCTTGAGATTGCAAGAAAGAATGAGGCATATTGGGGAGTAAACTCATGCTTATGGCATGAGTTTACAGTTTTTAGGGGAGTTTACGGCCCAAACATAAAAGTTTGGCCGTGAACTTCTAATCTATGTGGTATTCGCGGTATAGAAATTTCAAGACCCGAGACGACACATTCTTTCACCCGTTCATTTAAAGAATAATTATTATAATAGTCAAACGAACTTTAAATTTGTTAAAACCAAATAGAACTGAAATTGACTTATAATATGAAGTGGTTGACTTTTAGGGTTTGACCGAATGAAAATTTCGAGTTGTCACATAGGTGCACTCCCTGGGATGCCCATGACTCTCACCATGGTTAGAAAGAGGTGTACCAATTCTCGATCCACTAGGGACTTGATTATTGATGTGTGACATAGTAGCCGCTACTACCGCAGTGACAGCTGCCTGGATCATAGCAGCATCAAACCGAGGAGGTGGAGGTGGTGGTGGTGTCAGTGCGTCCTCACCATTGTTGCGCCTGGGATTTCTACGAGGCGGCATTTTTCAACTATAAGTTGAAAAGATAAAGACAATGATAAGAATTCAATAGTATAGATAATGAATGTGTCTCATGAACTAAATCACTATAGTTCAACAACAGATGATATTATGAGTTCCTGAATAGATTACATAACATGCCAAAATTACTGGTATTAATGATGTAAATAAGTTCGGGAAAATGACCTAACTAAAGGTCTTACATCATACCATAGGGGAAAATGTTGGCAATTTAGATGTCTAATAGAGTACTTGAAAGACAGGAATAATTTACAAACAAGTGCTACTTAGAGCATAGGTAAGAAAGTTGTTCCTTAATTAGAAGAAAAGATGTGCTAGACATCTTCTAACGGCGATAGGAATTCCTCGGGTAAATCCTCAGATCTTCCATCTAACGAACCACTTCTTGAAGGTGTTGTTCATGAGCCCTCTGGCGAACTAGAAGTTCTATGACTTCAGATTGGGAGGAAGCTAGTTGTTGCTGCAGAGTCTCATTGGTCCTCCTGGTTCTTTCCATCGCCTCTTTGAGATGGTGAATGCGGACCGTGTTGACACCCGAGTTGGCATCAATCTCCACTACTCGGCCGATGGCTGCCTGACCTTGTTCAACATTCTGAGCAATCCTGCGGACCATGATAGGTAGGGCTCGGTCAGCCAAGCCACCATCACTTATGTTGTAAAAGCTTTGATCCCCGTTGTAGGGTAAGGGTTGAACCTATTCATCACTCCAGCGATTCAAGTTTGTTGCCCACAAGGGTGTTGGACCTTGAAACATGGGTTGGGGGTTGTTATTCGAGGCTTGACCTACTTAGGGTAGGTTGTTGACTTCGGGCTCAGAGTCAGAACCATCCGAAAAGCCTTCTACGAGGAGATCATCCAAAGGGATTGGATGCTCATCTTCGGGCTCTTCTTCAAGCCATCCAACATTGTCGTGGGGTGGAAAGTACGGGTCGCCATGATGATGGAATCCAGCCATGTTATCTACGCGAGAAGTAGGGGTAAACGAATTAGTTTAAGAGACGTACTAGCTAAGATATTTATAGTAACACGAAATACTCCTATAGTATTTTAAGTTATGTTTTGTTCTAAAGTTCTCATTGTAGTAGTGTTGGTAAGTTCTTAGACATGTTGCAACATCACAACCAGTATTGGGCATATGCTAATCACTCATCGGGCCAACATAGTTAATCAGGCTATGCCATTCCCAGGATTGACCATACATCCCCGAGCTTACTTGTGATATTCAAAAATCGTAATATTTTTGTATTTGTCACTGTGACACTGATTTTAGTATGAACGCAGGTATGTGTACTTATTTAAATATTTTATTATTTAAAAGTATAAACTCTTGGTCAGAGTGTTTTAATCCCATTGTACTTATAGTTAGTATATCTTTTATGGGTTGATATACTCAATTCACTATACACAATGCTCTGACACCAATCTATCACACCCCAAAACAGAGAACGGTGGAAACGTTCTGGGGGCGGAGGACGTCATGTATAGTATCACAACACAGTAATAGTAAACAAGAAAACAAACATCATCCATTGCATTAAATATATAATTTTAATACATGTGTGTTCTTTAATAGACACCAAAAATGAAAGATCAAAATAAAATACGAGCTAGTCTTGTCTGTGCTCCGTCTTCTCAAAAACTTGTCATCGGTACCTGTCTACTGATGACCTGAGAATACAAGTTATTTTGAAAGGATAGATCATCATTTAAGCTGGTGAATTCATAAGTATTTTAGTGTATTTGATTTGTAAAACTGTAAGGAAAAGACTTGTAAATGTTTGATGAAAAACTTCCACTAGTAGAAAAACAGCCTTTTACGACGCTCATTGCGCGTCGTAAAAGGCTCAGACGATGCGCAAATGCGTGTCAAGGAAGGCCTTGTCATAAAGAGAGACGACGCGCATTTACGACGCTCATTTACGACGCGCAGTTACGACGCGCATTTACGACACGCAATGCGTATCAAGAAAGCCCCTGTCAAAAAAAGCCATGTCATAAATGAAGATGACCCACATTTTTGCGTATCGTAAATTTAAATGTTTTAAAAAAATAAATTTATATATTTATTAATTTTTTAATTAAATTTGCATTTAATTTCTCATAATAGAAATAAAATACCATATACAAAAAATACAATCCATTGCATAATATAAAATAAAATTTCATACTCAAAAAATAAAATAAATTGCACAAATTGTAATGTCATACAAAGAATCATTCAACTGTTAAACAAAAATAATACATTGCTAACATGGGTTATACATTCCTATAAAACTAACAAATAATCATACAACTCTGTTTCTTACTGGAAAGGAATGTCAAACATGATTACATGTCTCCCTTAATCTTGATTACTCACCTACTTATGTAGAATGTTATTGTTGAGAAGGTTACCTAGCAACAGAGAAAAACACAACACCTCTCCCACAATCACAACATCATTTACAGAGAAAGGGTTGTCAATTACTTTCATTAAGACTTTCATTCAATCACAAAAATATTAAATAAAAGGGTGAAATAGTAACTTACTTTTGATAAGTTGATCTCCCTTAGAGCAAACACAGCTAAAGCATTGAACAAGACCCTATTTCCCTCTTCTTTTAAAGTTTCCAGAATGTTTAGAATGCTCTCCTTACCCTGTTATTTCAAGTGTCAGGGGAAAAAAAGTCCTCACTTTTGGTTCCCTATCAGATGCAGCATCAAGAACAGAGAACATGATCTCACCAAACATAATCAATAATCAGATTGAATTATATATTATGAGTAAGTAATAAAGTACATGTAACGTAATAAAGTATTATTAAGGAACTTATGATTTAAAATATTATTTTTTACACTCAGATGGCAAAATATTTTATGTTATTCTTTTACAAGTTGAGAACCAACTCAAACATGAAAGATAATAGTCCATCTGGTAGCTTTTGATGACATGGCAAATGAAATTTCTCAGAGATAGAATAATACCTGTACTATTAAAATGATGGCAACCACAACAGGTGGTCCAATAACTACAGCCAAAAACATGCCTTTAATCATGTCTGGAAAGAAAAGAAAGATTGTTTGCTGCAATCATAAATCCCATGTGTTACAAACTTATATCCAAATTTAAATTAAATAAAAAGAGAAAATTGTAAAAACAAATTATATCCAAGGTAATACACCATACAACAAAATAGCAGAGTCCATCAGTATTGTTACAAACCCATGAAGGAAGTGGAAGTTACTGGAAAAAAAACATATGATTTGAGGCCTGTTCTCCATTCTTCCTAATAAGATAAATTGAGAAGCATTTTTCAAAAAAACACCATTTTCTTAATTATTAGAACACATTAGAAAAGCTTTATACTCTTTGATTTAAGAAGCTAAGTAAACTATAAGAAATCCACAACAAAAAGAAACTATAAGAAATCCACAACAAAAAGATTTGAAACTTACCTGTCCAGTAAGAAGAGGGGTATCAGCAACAAGCTTGAAAGCAACAGGCCTTGGATTATGCACAGGCCAAGCCTGCAAATAAAAGGTGCATCAAGTATAAAAGAGAACATGGAAACTGATATTAAAAACAAGAACTTTGATCATTAGAAAAAAAGAGAGAGAGAAAAATAGAGAGGGAAGAAATGGAATGGAATGACTCATTCCATTCCTTTCCATTCTATATTCCAACCTTTACCTTGTTTTCTTATCATTATCAGTTGTATCTGCACCTCTTTCATTTCCTTCAAGATTTAAAAATGAAGAATGGCATGTGATCGTGAAGATTCCTCATTTGCATCTGTTGTCCCTGTGATTGTAAATTAGTAAAAGCATAATATAAAAAACTGAAGTAGAGAAGTGACTTCTGTACTTGATAATATATTTCTCATTTAGGCAAAATGGCTTGAAGAACGCGACATGCAGCATCTTGCAACATAGGTTCCCTGTCGCTTTCAAATATGGTTTCCAACAACTTCTTGCATTTTAGTTTGTTCAGCTTTCTTTTTACTTCCTCCATATTAGAAGATCAATTTGGCTTACACAACGTGTATAATCTGGAGGAAAGGTTAAGTCCATCTGCAACAACCTGTTCTTCAATAGGAGTAACTTGACCAATGCAACGTTTTTTCCCAGATCCTGAAACCCAAGAACTGCTACGAAGCACACGTGCCTCCATGTCCAGTACTGCATCCATTTTCTCCTTCCAACCAAATTCATCCTTTACTCTACCATAAATTTCTAAAGTGTCTATTCTTGGTAAAGTTGATCTGTTGAAAGTTGTTCCTATGGAGATTGTAATTTCTTCATCAGCTAGAAGGGATTCTGCAACTGTAAATGGGATGTCATACCATGACCTCATGCCTTCGTCTAGTTTTATAACTCTTTGGAAAATTGTTATCTCAGAGGGTATATGGTTTGCTAATGTGTTCCCCACATGGACACGAAATCCAACCATTACTATGTTTGGATTCGAATTGGAAACTGTTACCTGGAATAGGAAAACACAAGGTATCAATCATGAATCAATACAAATAATTCAGGGGCTGTTTCTTATTTCTTTTATTTTCCCGTCAAGTCTTGTATGGTAAAGTGGCTGAATGGTTAGCAACTACAAAACAGCCCCTAAGACCAAATGACCATTTTACCCTTACATCCCAACAAACAAATTTCATAATCATCATCAATTTTAACATGAGAGAAGTTGGTGGAAAAAATATTAAGGGCAAGTAGGGGAAGGGTTGGAGTTTTGATACACTAAGCTGTCCAGATTAAGTGGTTAACCAAGAAAGCCCATCAAGTCAAACAAAAAAAGTAAAACATAAATAGCATTGTAACAAAGCATACCTTGAACCCTATAGGCATAGGACTTTCAAGAAATCCTTCTTCTGTTGACCAAATCCAGGTCAAGGAATTTCTTCTGTAAATCTGGATTGAAATTAGGGCATATGTCTCCAGAAAAAAGATCAACAAAGAAAGTAAGGACCTTCACATTAACCGATTCAGAGTTGCAATTATCCAATGCATCGAAAAAGACCAAAATATCGCCACACTGAGAGCCAAATCTGTCATCAAGTTCTTTTGAAAGATCTCCATCAGACATGAAAAACTTTAGCAATTGTGCCCTTGAAGGATCCTTTATGATGTTGTCTATGATATCAATAGCTTTGGAGACTCCACATTCGTTAACAGAGCTATCAACACTTTCTCTTCTCTATCTTTCTGCTCGTTTTTTCTTTTCTTTCCCATTTTCTGTTCAGTCTTGTCACACACACACAAAAACCATCTAGGAAGTAGGACGACGTGAACGATGGTGGAGATGATAGCCGGCGGTGGCTGGTTTAGGGCTTTTAGAGAATATGAGATATTTCTGTTTAGAGAGAGAAAGTGGAATCGATGAGAATGTAAGCTTCGGTTACTTTATAGCAGAGATGGCATCATGCTTGAAGGTGGTTACAATCAGCATTGATTTTGGGTGGATGGTAGGTGAAGTGGGGATGTCGATCGACGTTTCAGAGTAAAATCAGTGATTAGAGAGCCCAAGAGGAGAGAATGAGAGCCCAAGAGTAAAATCACAAAAGTATGGAGTGTGAATGAGTTTTTAGGGTTCAATGGTAGTGACGATGGCTTAGGGTTTGCAGATGGTGGTGTATGGGTCGTCGGTTGCTTTACAGAGAGATACGAATTCGAGACGAAAAGACGAGATTGACCCATCTGGTAATAAACGGACTCGAGAAGCTGAACAAAATGACCCGAGATTGACCCATCTAGTAACAATGCTATTGATGCCATTCCTTCCATTTTCGACTGTTCATCCTCCACTTCCTCTACTGCTACTTCTTCACCATCTTCTATTTTTTCTGTATTTAGACTTGAGAGTATAATTAGGGCTTTTTCTAACAATTTCAACATCGAGTGGGAGATATGGTGGTTCCAGTAGGTAGAAGTGAGGGAAGAAGTAGGTAGCAGTCAATGTCGGGAGGGGGGAAGGAAGGAGCGTCCATAATTTCGCCAAGAGGGAAAGGAGAAAAAAAAAGGAAGGCGGGATTTTTAATTTTTTCAGAATTTCATTTCCCCCTACTGTTAAAGGATGGAACGCGCGTTCCATTAAAAATTATAAAGCGACATCCTTAGACGACGCGCATTTTATTATAGGTGCCCTCCGTGTTTTTTTTTTGTTAGACACTAATTTAAGGGCACGCAATAATGCATGTCCTCTATTGTTAAATTTTTTTAAGAGATGACACTTTTTTAAAGTCACTCTCTTTTGCGTAACATAAATCAACGAGTGTTGTGGTTTGCGCGTCGTAAAAGGGTCTTTTTCTTGTAGTGTTCGTATAAGTGTGAAAACCCTAAGAAATCCTATATTTCCTACTAGTATAAAATGTAGTCTTCTACTAAGACCCGATAGTTTTGGTGGTTTGTTTCTCTGTATGAATGAAGGTTTTTCCCCATGTAACTATTATTATCAAAATATAGTCTACCTCATCGGTTATGTGAATGTTTCACAAAATAAAAGTAAAAGGGAAAATTATATAATTATTTAAGTATTATCCTTTGGTACTAGGATAAACACGACATAGTAACTTGCCGAATAGTATTAACCGTAGACATCCATCGATGTGCATTTTCCCTTTGTAGCTAACAGTTGGGTGTATAACGGTTAGTCCCGTACGTATATAATAGTATCTATTCATATAATATGTAATAGTATCTCATCATACAGTATGTAATAGTATCTCTCCATTAGTATGTAATAGTATCTCTTCATATAGTATGTAGTACACTTGTATAGACTCATGAATGAACTGACTCTTGTATGTTCCAATTGTACTAGGAATACTAAGTAGTATCTTTCAAACTATACCTATTATAGTTTACTAGTAATGTAGTTTGAAGTGTCCATATATGTTTATACACCTTTGCTATACAAGGTGTTGGAGCTGAAGTCATAGCCATCTTATCAAAATATATATAATATATATATATATATATATATATATATATATACTTACTACATAAGTGTATAGATATGGTATTTAGGAATACATAAGTGGTAAAGAGGTTTTTGTAATACATTTAAAAGGTTTGAAACAATAAATAATCATGACAAGATGTTAGTTTATAAAACGATTTAAAAGTAGTTTGTTTGATAAAACGGTTTGAAAGTATAGTAAATCCATCTGTTTGATAGTTATTAATCACATGTGATTGATATAATAACTATGATATTCAACTTGTATTCCCCCCATAAAATCATTTAAAAGCATGCAAAAGCGTTTAAAAGGTTGTTTAAGGGGTATGAACTCACCTGAAATGAGTGATGCGATAGTAGGGTCGGTAAAGGATGCTAAGTGTCAAGTGAGGACTTGAACACACACAATGATCCTAGTTAACATATAATAAAACATATATGTATCTAATTAGTCATTTAACAACTAATTAACCAAGTTAAAACACCCTAGGACATGCAAACACTTTTATTCAAGTGTTATAGGTACGTAAGGGTTGCATCTAAAGGTTGTATGGCATGGCATTGGAGTTTATGGCCCAAGGACCACACCTTATGGAGTTTACTGCCCATGGTCATTTCCTGTGACAACCCGATATTTCAACTCTATGTAACGACCTAAAAGGTCAAGTATTGTAACCACTTTTGTTATATTGAAATTAACATCGAAAATAAAATGTTCAAAAGACTTTAATTAATTACCTACTGTGTTAGATGTCATTAAACTGTGATCGTACGTAAAAAGAACGCCTAAATCTGACTTCGTATAAGGAAGTTATGAATTTTCCAAGTTCGGCTTAGCAACGGACAGCTAAAAACTCGAAACGGAGATCGAGCGAATTTTGGCTAGAATAACCTAAATGAGAAACGAAGGTCTCGACAATGGTTTTCAACGGTAAAAAGTCTGGCAAAAACAGATGCCGGATAATGAAGTTATGAATTTCTAATGAAATTTTCTCACCACGACCTTTTAAAAATAAATAATAAAAACAATTTCAAAATTTGCCGACAGAATCTAAACGAAAGTTGTAGAGCGTAGTCTCACCTACACGTGGATACAAAGAACGTCGAAAACAGAGTCCGAAGGATGAGTCACCAGGCCAATCCGAGTTACGCCCAACGTACACTCGTACGCCCAGCGTACTCGAGGCCTAGGCCTCGGATCGTTGACGTCGCCCCTATGCGAGGCTATGCCCCGTCCCAGCATACCCGCGGACGCCTAGCGTACCGAGGCGGTTCCCACCCCCTATAAAAGGGATGTGAGGGTTCCGAAGAAAAGGCCCAATTCCTCTCATCTTTCTTGCGTCTTTGCCTCGTTTTCCGTGCACGTGCTATCCCGAAGCCCCGGTTTCCTTGCTCAGGTACCGAAGGTCGTTTGTGCTCCCGAGATTCCCGAGAAAATCCACTTTCTTGAGTCGAAATTATGCTCAGTTTTCATCTCGCCTTCTTCGATCTTTCATGTGAGTTCATACCCCTATAATCCACACTTTTAAATGTTTTATAAATGTTTTTATATGCTTTTAAGGGGGGGGGGGGGGAATACAAGTAAAACACACGATTATTACCGTGTGTTATATAAAGTTTCATTATACACTTTTTATTAATGGAATCATATGTGATTTATAACTATTATAGAGAAACTTTCCGTATGCAAAATATACCACGATAACATCTTATCTTTGAAATAAGAAATGATTTATGTATATATGTAAATCAAACACTCTGATTATACTGTATGTATATGTGTCCATCTTTGGCACTACAAAAATTATACTTTTCATAACAAGTGAGCATTTCACTAGGGATTACTATACAAACGAAACACACTTTTAGAAAACTATAATAGGCATAGTTTTACGAGAACACTACGAACTTTTACATACTAGAAATACTATTTCAAGAAATTACTTTCATATACAAGAACAAACGAACATTTTCACACGTAAATTTGTTTTATACTAAGTTTTGTGAGACATTAAACGTCACGTACGCTCGAGTACACATTTCAAGTCCTGTATTATATACCAGAATCCCTTGGAGGGGGAGCATGGTGTTTGTGTATAGATCTATACGGGATTGACAACCCCGCGCCCTGACTGTTAGCTACAGCACACCATTTGGGGTGACAAACGTCAGAACATTCCAATGCTTGAAGAACGTTGTATATAGGCATTTCTAGTCAAATAGCATGGTTATAAAACTCACATGGAGTATCAAAAACACATTGATTTATAGGGTTTTTCAGACGTATTGGCAATTTTATACGTACATTAATTAACGACTTAAGGCATGAAAAACCTTATCGTGATACAATTTTGGAACTTCTAAACCACTACCCACATACGGTAAAACATAAATTTTCTAGAAACAAACATTGGTCTTGATAGAAGGCTACATTTGTACTAGTATAGGATATGGGATTTTCTAGGAACCAACAAACAAAAACAAACCATTTCATTTTAGTTCATGCAAATAGTGTCATTTAATACTTATGAAACTCACCAGCTTATATGCTGATCTACTCTTTCAAAACTACTTGTATTTCCTAGGAATTCAGTAATTGCATCTAACAAACAGCTTTTGAAGAACGGACGCTGTGCGCTAGTTTAAATTCATATTTTGGTATCATATTGTAATTGGTTTTGAACGTGTACCTTTTAAAAAATGTAAACTTTCAATTATATATATATATATATATATATATATATATATATATATATATATATATATATATATATATATATATATAATGGTTATGTTGCTATCTTTACTATGTATTCAATTGTTTCGTTAACACATGAAGTTATCCGCCCCGAACGTTTCCGCCGTTTCGGTTTTGGGGGTGTGACAGATTGGTATCAGAGCAATGTTTATAGTGAACTAAGTATATTGAACCTCATAAGATATAAAAACTATAAATTCTTAGGGACTCAAAGTCTCTGACAAAACGTTTTTACACCTAAAACCTTGTTTCAATTAAATAGATTATTTCAGGTCATAAAAGTACAAAATACATGCATACAACGATATATTTTCATGGTTAGAACTATATAAAAAGTATTAAGATGAGTTGGATACTACGATTAGTTCTC